AAAAAAAAAGAGTCCTTGTCCAACTGTCACTATGGCATTTGGCATTTTCAGGATATGAAAAAAAGATGTATTGATTGCAGTGCTTGAGGAAATTCAGCTGACAGCCTTATTGTAGCTTCCATGTCAGTAACAGTGAGCGAAAGAGGAATGCATTCTTTTAGAAGAGGCATTCAGTGCTTAGGCAAAAAAGCAAAAACAGATCAGTGCTTTGCTTCACCATCGTGCGGAAAAGAAATGGAATTTCAGAAGAAACTTACCTCCACTCTCCAGAGGTATTTTACCAGTTTGTTTTAGGGTTTGTTTAAAAAAAACTAACATGAACCAGTTGGTGGTATGCCATGCCTCCTGGATTGATTTACCACCGTTTCCTCAGAGGAAGTAGGCATGACTGTTAGAAGAATGCATCTGGCCATAGGAATTGGATTGCCTCTAATGTCTCTGTGTTGTGTAGCTTTTCAAGCTGGAGCAATTTCCATGTTGAAGGAAAGAGCGTGACTAAGGATACGCTGTCACATTTGAATGTGATGTGAAAAAGACCTTGCCTACCATGTTGAATGTGATGTGAAAAAGACCTTGCCTACCTTGTGTTTCAAGACTTTGTGATCTTTGAGGGTGAAACTAAAAGAAGGAATCTTGACCAAAGAGCTGGTCCCTGTGGCTGACCGGTTATCCTGGATAGACATACGTTGTTTGCTAAGGCAACAAGGAGATTATGTGGGAAAGTCATTCTCTTTGAACCACAGTCCCCTTGAAATGATTGAGCAGTAGTACATTGTTCAACGTAAACTAGATTACAACATTATAAAATGTAAGTATTCTCAGGGACTGAAAGAATGAAGTGTAAATATGCATTCATGACTGGATTTAGAAAAGATTTTCATTTTATTATTCATAGAGTGGAATGCTAGTGTATCAAATTGACATTTTTAGGGTTGCCTCCAATGCTACCTTGTCCTCCTAATGTGTTTTTCTGCATTTTGCCTTTAAAAAATGGAGTGACATCCTGTTACCCAGAAGCTATATACTTAGTGTTGGATCTCTCCAAATCATTTGTAGGCATTAAAGTAGGTAATACTGTTCTTAAATCTATACTAATACTGGGTTGAGAAATAGAGATTATTTTCTTGTTTTAAAGAATGAAATTCTTATTTCAAATGTGTAAACACCTCATTGTAGAGTCTATAGAACTAGAGTCGAGTTTACAGAACTCTATATATCTATGCTCATTGCATAAGATAGGGGGGTTAGTATATTTATGTGTACAAGCTAGTAAATGTAGTACCAGACAAAAAGATGTCATGAGCAGTGCAGGAATTGAAATCACTTATTTTCAATATACTTATCGTATTCCATTTGTACAAAAGGGTCTCTCTAAAGCAGAGTGTCTTCTAACATACAAATTCTCTTTAAAGTTATTAATGCAGTAAGAATTTTACTTTTTTTTTAATAAAGGAAGGAATAGGAATAAGAATTAGAATTGGAATTAAAAACAATGTTATAGAAAAGTAAAACGATAGACTTGAAACTAAAAGTCCCTGCTGTTATCTCACTCCAAGTTTCACTTGGAGCTATATCTCTGACAGATTTGGTGTCAGTAGACTTGCTACTGAAATTATCTTGGATTATATCAGAATTTAACTTTGTTTTTTTCTTAAGGCAAAATTATTTTTAAGGGTTGATACAGACTTGTTTTCATGTCTATACTGTTTAATAGAAACTCTTGCACTGCTAGTTATGTCTCTTGATAGTATTGAGAAATGACAGTTCACAATTACATACATGAAGGTTTTCGAAACATGACATGATTGAGGTCCATTCAGATTTGAAAACAGATAGTTTTGATGGGTTTAATATATTTTTCTTGATTCTTTCCAGTGATTACTGAGGCTTTCCAACACAAACATCTAGACATTCTCCAATTTTCTCAAAAGAAAATGCTGAAACCACAGAAGATATTTTTTTCTTTTAAAATTTAGATCAGGGAAAACATTTTTAAATAACTGTTTCTCATTTAAAACTAAAGTAGGAGTCTAAACAATGAATTCAGAATACTTAACAAAGGAGATGCATATCATTTGAAATGCTTGTTTCTATCTTTATTGCTTTTTCCATTGAATCTGTGCTGCTTCTGTGCAACTGTTTTCCACTGTAGAAACTCCATCCTGCTGCCTTGCTTCTCGTGAGCGTATTTACAAAACTAGTGATGTAGCTGGGCCTGCCTCTGCTATTTCATCTCTCTCTCACAAACTGAAGGGTGGGTATGCATGCCAACATAGCAAGGTTATTCAGACTTTTACATTCAAAATGTTTTTTTTTCCTCCTTCTATTCATTTTCATTTCATTTGCATAATAAAATGAAGTTTTGAAAGTAAATGTTCAAGTTCAATATTTGTTGGGAGCTCATTTGATATAACCATTCAGCGTTGCCTTCCTGAGTTGCAGCAACTTCATGATATGTGATCTAGCTATCTCTCTGCTTTATAAACAGAAAGGTGACTGTTAATCTAGTAAAACCTGTTTTCAAACAATAGGTAAATGAAATATGGAAGAAGAAAGGGGGGGGAAATATATGAGGATGGTGGGTTTTTTTTGTTTACAGCTAAAGCAGTTTGCTACATGATTACTCAGTTTCTCATTTTGGGAATTTTTTTTTTTTCTGCTCATAGTCTAGAATGCTAATTAGGATTATTTACCTATGTGCAAATCCAAACCTTTGTTTTTAAAAAAACATAGGATATTTTTTTGCTGCTGGAAGCTACTGTAAAGCTGTGCCTTTCATAAGGTTTTGTTCTAGAAGGTTTTCGTGCTTGATATTCAGCAGTCATGCATATACTTTGAACTCGATATGTTGCTGAATGGCTTGCAGTGTTTTATGTCCTCTGAGAAGACTATTGTCATGTTTTCACTTCCTTTATGTGGAATTCCATGAAAGGTTCTATCTAGAGTATTTTCTGATCTGTCAGACCTTAAATTCATCTTTGTATTTATTTCTTTCTGGGAAAAGTGTGTATAAAGTAATTATGATTTACATTTCTGAATTCATATATCACAAAGTAGACATCTCAAAATAGCTCATCAGTAGAACTAGTGAATAACTGAGCTGGCATGAGCAAAATGCTTGGACTGATATTTAAGAAACCTTTTAGTTTTTCCTTTTAGCAAGAACAATCATTTTAAAAACCATGATGTACCATGGTATTTCTTCTTTCTCTTCCCCTTCCTTCCCTCCTCCCCCCAAAAAATAATTATAGAACTTGTAAGAAAAAAGAAGAAAGACAGATTAGACTCTCAAAATCAATTAGAATGACGTTTGAGATGTTCTCATTATATTCTACTGTTTATCTTTGGCATATTGTTCCTGAATATAGACAAAATATTTCTTCTCTGCCTGGAGAAGTACAAACTCCTACCATGTCCTATGTCCTAGGAAGCCAGGAGAGTACCCTAACCTTCAAGCTTGTTAAGTATTCCAACATAGGTATCCTTCACTTTTTCCTGTTGCTATTTGTTATAAGCTACTTAAATATGGAGCTAGCAAAATAATAAGAATTGTTTTTTTTATCCAGTGGAGACATCTAGGTTGCTAGACTTTGCTCTGAAAAATACATTTGGTTTTGTATTGTGAGAGGTAACAGTAGAAAACCTGAGAACACTCCATGCTTCTATATGTTTTCTAGCAGAGGGATAAGGTTTCATGATTGAGAACTGGAAGAAATTGGTTCAGATCACATAATGCAGAAGGAAGGAAATACAGATTTCCCACCTTCTAAGTAAAGTACTGAAGGTACTGGACAAAAGATGACTGCCTGTCCTCTCTGTTCCCGTTAGAAATCAAGGTCCAAATTTGCAAATATTCTCTGATTAATTGAAGTTTAACTTTTTTAACAAATAGTTGTTTCCTCATAAATACACCCAGACAAGTGGAAATAACCTTTTAGTGCCTAGAAAAGTGAAATAATCCAAAATACTGTGACCTAGTTATACAAACTTTACTAGAGAAACTTTTTCATGTTTAACAAATAAAAAACCGTTCACATCAAAAGGCCTTAACTATACGTTAAAGACTTTGCAGTGTAGTGCTTTGTGGAGAGACAGTTATATTTAATTCATAACTGCCGCATTGCTTGCCAGTAATTTCACCATTGCTTGTCTTAATTTTCAAAATGGTTCTACAAGAGAGACTGAGTGTCTTCACAGAATTATTAGAAACAGATTGCTTTAATGAGTTACTTGCATATACTTGTTTTGTATGTATTTATATTAAGCTACCCATAGTTTTCATTGTTATGTAGATTAATATATGTACAAAGTCAGTGTGCATAGGAACAGTAAATTAGCGGATCAAAATAACAATGTTCTAGACCAGAGTTGATGGTTTAGCTTAGTGGTTGAAAAAGATATTGGGGTTTTTTTTTTTTTAGTAGGCCATGTTCTGGTAGCAGAACATTGATAGTTGGTGGTCTTAAAGGTGGATACCTCACATTATCAATATGAATCATTTCAAGCATGTTTGTAAACCTCTCACCCAATTTGCTTTGTAGCTGTATTTACTTCATACGTGAGCATTAAAGAAAATAAATCTGGTAATATGTTTGATCTTTCTGCAAGTCTCTTGTTGCAGTCAGGCTGACACACATAGAGATAATAAATAAATAATCCCTGGTTTCTGTTGCAACTGTGGTAAACTTAAAGTTAACTCCTGACATTTTACCCAAGGGTGTAAATTCTGCATCCTTTACTAGTGTTTTGTGGAAATAGTGAACTGTACCTTTTGATACCTCCATAGTTGTGTTTTCTCTGTAAATATTTCCTAACACTGGTTTGTATGTATCTCTGGGAGAAGGAATGTATTGAAAATATTCTGGGGGAAAAAAATTCCCTTTATATTTCCTTTCATTTTGATGTGAAGAGAAGCGTGTGTTTAATTTTTATCTCGTGTTCAAGTCTTCAATCCTTGTTTTGTATCACTGTCAAAATATAATAATTTGCTTATAAAATATACCGAACAGGTGACCGGATGAATTTCACAGGAGCTGCTAGACCAATTTCTCCAGCAGGAAAATCAGACATGTCATCAAAACACAGAGCTGACAGCAGGTCACCCAAGCTTGATGTGCGAATGAACAGAGCTGCTGCTGAGCAGAAGAAACCTAGGAATACAGAAGGCTTATCTGCCAGTGAGTCTCTTATGCTGAAATCAGATGCTGCAAAATTGCGATCAGACTCTCACAGCAGGTCTTTGTCTCCAAATCATAACACTTTGCAAACACTAAAAACCGATGGAAGAACAACTACTGGTCTGAGAGCTGAATCTCCAGGGCCAGGAACCCGGTCGTCTTCTCCAAAGACAAAGACACTTACAGCTGTTAGATCTGGTGCTAGTTCTCCACGATCCTCATCACCCCATGACAAAACTCTACCTCAGAAAGCTTCGTCCCCTGTGAAAACCAAGCTTGATCCTCCTCGAGAACGCTCCAAATCAGATTCTTACACATTGGATCCAGACACTCTTCGCAAAAAGAAAGTACCACTAACAGAACCCTTGAGGGGGAGGTCCACTTCACCCAAACCAAAAATTATTGCGAAAGATGGAAAACCTGTCACAGAAACTGAAAACAGAGCTCCTTCCCCTCATGTCGTACAAGAAAATCTCCACAGTGAGGTGGTTGAAGTATGTACTTCAAGTACTTTAAAGACTGACAGCATTACAGATAGCACCTGTGAAGACAACACAGAATTCAGAAGTCTGGACGATGGTTCTAATAAAGTTCATTTCAGCATAGGAAAAGCACCACATGAGCAAGACATGAGAGCGTCTCCAAAAGTGAGCCGTAAATGTGCTGGCAGGCACACAAGACCCAAAAAGGAAAAATCCAGCTTTCTTTTCAAAGGAGATAGCTCCAAGCCTGTAGAGCCTGCCAAGCAAGCAATGTCACCTTCCGTTGCAGAATGTGCTAGAGCTGTATTTGCTGCGTTTCTTTGGCATGAAGGAATAGTTCATGATGCTATGGCTTGTTCATCGTTTTTGAAGTTTAATCCAGAACTGTCCAAAGAGCATGCACCAATACGAAGCAGTCTTACTCAACAGCCTGCAGAGGAAAAAGAAACCAAGTTGAAAAACAGACATTCATTGGAAATATCATCTGCTCTTAACATGTTCAACATCTCACCTCATGGACCAGATATATCTAAAATGGGTAGCATCAATAAAAATAAAGTCCTCTCAATGTTAAAAGAACCACCTCTGCATGAGAAGTGTGAGGATGGGAAAACTGAAACTACCTCCTTTGAAACATCCAGTCATCACACAATGAAATCCAAATCTCCTCTTCCATTAACACTGCAGCATTTGGTAGCTTTCTGGGAAGATATTTCTTTAGCAACTATTAAAGCAGCTTCCCAAAACATGATTTTTCCAAGTCCCGGTTCTTGTGCAGTGTTAAAGAAGAAGGAGTGTGACAAAGATAATAAGAAAACTAAAAAAGAGAAAAAGAAAAAAGAAAAGATTGAGACTAGGCCAAGGGGAAATCTTTTTGGTGAGATGGCCCAGCTTGCAGTGGGAGGACCTGAAAAAGACACAATCTGCGAGTTGTGTGGAGAATCCCATCCATATCCAGTGACTTACCACATGAGACAAGCTCATCCAGGTAAGATTAGATATTTTTTAATTCTCGTGTCCATTTGTAAGCATATTGTACCACACACATTTCGGTATTCATTATTGTTATGAAATTGTGTCAGGCTGTCTTGTCTAACATTTTAACACAGTTCACTATAGAAGCTAAATTAAAACTTACACACACCTGTTACAAATTATTTGCACATTTTGTGTATGTAATTTTAAGTAGTTATGGATCTAAGCTTTCAAAGATGCTGAAGAAAGTTGTTTGAAACAAGGCCAAAATAATGAGCTGACTTCACAGTAGCTCTTCAGAAACAGACCATTTGTTAGATTTTAGAACTTACTGTGCTGAGAAAACTAGAAATAAAATTAAAAATGAGATTGGTTAATTAGAATGTCTATATTGCCAAAAGCTTTCTATTACTATTCTACTGTAACTAGTAGAAAACTGTTTTTATCTGCTGTGTCAGCACTGGGTATCAGTGACTTTTTTTTTTTATTTTAAAATGTATCTAAAAAAAAAATAAATGTAATAGTTACCATCACTTAGCTGTCTGAATAGGGAGCTAGTGATGCTTTGGACAAGTTCATAATAAAAACTTGAAACCTACAATGTGTTTGGATTCTTTGGATCCTGATGGAACACATGTAGGTGTACTTTGGTTTTTAATCAGTTCAGAGGTACAGAAAAGGAGAGATTAGGCCAGAGTCTTCCCCCTCTCCAGCCCTCTTTTACAGTAATAAATAATATAATAGTAATCTTTCTTCTGAAATAACTTTTTTCTTTTTTTTTTTTCTGCGATGTAGGTTGTGGCCGTTATGCAGGCGGCCAAGGTTATAATAGCATTGGGCACTTTTGTGGAGGATGGGCTGGTAATTGTGGCGATGGTGGTATTGGAGGAAGCACTTGGTATTTGGTTTGTGATCGATGCAGAGAAAAATATCTCCGTGAGAAGCAAGCAGCAGCAAGAGAGAAGGTATTTTCATCTGTTTCTCATATGTTTAGCTCTCTAACTGATAAATAGTGCTGTGCTCACAACTTGCAAATAAGGTCAGGCCAGTTTTAAAAGATTTGGAAATTCGGAATTTTAGAAGGTTTTAGAATATCCACATATGTCATTGATAGATGTAAAATAACAAGATAAAAACTTTGCTGATAACTTCTGACCGGATTTTTTCCCTTCAGAAGGTAGTGTTTTCAAATTTGTAATTTTATTTTTTATCCAAATACAACTGCAGCATTGAATATAGTACCTTATTTTTTAAAAGCATGTGTCAGTTTATTTAACTTTGAATTCTTGTATTTATTTACTGAAATATGAGTATTGTTTTACTTTATATGTTTATAATTTCTTTAATGATCTTAATCATCCAGATTATTGGATACAGATGCCAAACACTTGGCAAACTAGAGCAATTTTTAATGGGAATAGTACAAAAGGTGGTGTTCTGATATTGGTCTTCCATGACCAATTTCAAATTCTTGCTTAAAGTATGCAAATACGTTGAGGTTTTAAGATAAGTAGAACAATGCTAACTTAACTTTATTTTTGAAACTAAATTTGTTGAAACTTTTTGCACATAAAATTCATCCTGAGGCAAACGTCAAAACTTTCAGCTGCTTATTAAAACTTTACAAAGTTATGGAAATAACAGAAGTGCCATTTTGCAATAGAAAACGTGTTATAACAGCAAGAATCAAGCAACTTTAGCATAAGTGACATTGTCAGCTTTTCCTGTGATGAAGTATAATTTAAATATACCTCTTTTAAATTTCTCTAGATTAAACAATCTAGGAGAAAACCAATGCAAGTTAAGACTCCTCGTGCCTTGCCAACTATGGAAGCTCATCAAGTGATTAAAGCCAATGCACTGTATTTACTGTCACTGAGTAGTGCTGCTGAGCCCAGTATCCTCTGCTATCACCCTGTAAAAGCATTCCAATCTCAACTTCCCAGTCTCAAAGAAGGCATTTCTGAAGACTTTCCCATTAAAATGCCATGTCTCTATCTACAGACTTTAGCAAGGTAATTAAAGGAAGCTTATAAATATTGATTTTAATACTCATCTATTTATAATGTTGGATAAAAATATGGGTATAAACTAAACTAAAACTTACATAGAAAAATACGTTTTTTCCTAATTCTTCATGATCTTTGTTCTTCTTTCTCTTCTGTTTCCATGATCTTTTCGATTTCTTAGGTTGTATTTGCTCCAAGGGTCAAATATACCCTTAGTAGCTTTTTGGATGCTAAATATTTTTTAACAACAGTTTACTTTCTGTCTAGAGAATTTAGAATTTCCTGAGGAGTTTAACTTAGTGTGTTAGTAGCAGACACGTGCTACTTTTCTCTCTTCACAGTTAAAAATAGGAAGAAGGAAACCAGAAGATTTGTGCTTACTGGGTATTCCTAAGTAGATTTTACTGTAGTGCCTCATGTTTATGATTGGTAGACATTTGGGCCTAAAATACATAATGGAAATACCTAATGAAAACACCAAAAGGTAGCAAAGGGTGATCCCCACTCCCTTTTGGTTGAAAATGCCGTTATATCTTCCACTAACACTTGTAAGTCACAATCAGCTTAAATGCATTAGATGAGGAGTAAATGAATAGTGTTGACTTGTTAAATGTAAAGGACTTGTGTGTGTGTTTCAGGAACTTGTAATCCTTAATCCTAATTTAAAAATCTAATTTGATGTAGGCATCATCATGAAAATTTTGTTGGGTACCAGGATGACAACCTCTTCCAGGATGAGATGAGGTACCTGCGCTCAACTTCAGTACCTGCACCATACATCTCAGTTACTCCTGATGCAAGCCCCAATGTCTTTGAAGAGCCAGAGAGTAACATGAAATCTATGCCCCCAAGGTACTTCCTTGTAATTCCAGATGCTACATACAAATACTAAAGCATTAGCCAAACACCGCTTTAAGAAAAAGAAAGAAAAAAAAAAACCAACAGGAAAACATTACTGTAATTAAGTAGCTAAAGTATCAGATCAGCCCAGATCAGTCTCTGAAATGGCAGCAAAAAAGCCAAAAACATGAAGCTGCAGTTAGAAAAATATCTTCAGTGAATCATAGCATATCAGGTATATTTTCAACCACTAGCAATGCAAGTTTGCAAATCAGATTTGAGACTTTTAACTGTAATGCAAACGAATTGCTTCTCTCCAGAAAGATCTTGGGTTTATAACCTAAATATGAAAAAAAAGTTTGTTCAGAAATTGATAAGGATTCCTAGCATACCACAGGGAAATTTATCCATAGTCCTTACTCCAGGCCTGCTTATTTCCCTGTAGAGACAAATACATTTTTTTCCAGAATCTCCAGAAGTGCAGAACCGAACAAGTGATCTAAAGAGCAATGATCCAAGGACCCTAGCTGTTGCAAACTCCTTGAAAATATAGCAATTTTTATTCCCTGTATTTCTGTTCTTTAACACAACTGGTTATAGTGCAGATTAATGGTGGCCTTTTTGAAAGGAAATAGCTGTTATCCTCCTTTCAGGATTCATTCTGAAGGGAAATTGGAACAGGAGGGAATTTCATTACCTTACATTTTTCGAAGCAAATGTTGCTGCTTCTTTCTGTGGGAAATTACAATGTCACTGAAGAAATGACAGCTTAATGCTATGTAGGGCCAAGAGTGCTAGATGTTTTCTGTCAGGTTAAGCCAGTTTCTTACCTCATTAAGTTTAGTGTGATCTAATTCAAGCAATTGCAGAATTTTTTGTTTTGCCAGGAGGAAAAAGGCTCTTACTTAATAATAGTCCAGAATCAACTTAGGTGCTCGGTGTTTTCAGATGTCAAACAGTGATTCCTCATATTATAATGAGGGTGTAATGAAGAGAAAACTTGCTTTTAATCTGTTTTTATTTCAGTCTGCTATATTTTATACTGACTGCAAAAACAGTTTATTGGAATACTACAATCTACCGTGTAGTCTTTTCAGAAATAGAACTTTTCTAACAAAACTCCTTAAGAGTGCATCGTATTGGTATATTCCTTTATTAAAACTGTGGACACCATGGTCTCCTGAGGCCTATAGGGACAGCATAAACTGGGAGTTCTTCTGCAGACTGTAAGAAGTCCACTGAAGGTAAGGAGTAAAACATGTCAAAGGCGTAGCCATGGCAATTGAAAGTTGGCTTTAAGGCTAATAATGTTAGAAACTTTACTTCACATAAAATTCTAAATTTGAGTTGGTTTGCATATTAAAAATTCACTCCATAGATGTTTTCACATGCTGTTCTCAAGGCAAATTTGGTCTGAAACTTCAATTCAGGCATGGTGTGAATGTTTTTATTCTCTCTAAAAAATATTTAAATTCTTGGAACTTACCATGTACATCATTACATTTGTTTATAAAGCACTTGCATGATGTTTCACCATGTAAAATTCTAATACATGTTCCTATTTTTCCAGTATTTGAACAGTTATTAAGTACATAAGACAAACCTTTCATGCAGTAGTAGCATTTTCATTATGGAATGCATGTGTCTTTAATACTAATGTACAATTCCAGTATGAGCTATATATTCTTTAACGAGCCTATAACTTCACTGATTTCTTTGTAGTTTGGAAACCAGTCCAATAACAGATACAGATCTTGCGAAGCGTACAGTCTTTCAAAGATCATACTCAGTTGTTGCATCAGAATATGACAAACAGCACTCAATTTTGCCAGCACGTGTGAAGGCAATCCCTAGGAGACGAGTCAACAGCGGAGATGCAGGTAAAAGCACAAACATCAGAGGCAGGGAAAAAATATTCGAGGATATGGCATTGGATTTTTTAGTTCTTCACAGAAACTGTAGACAAATATAGTTTTATATATATGTGTAATGGCTTTTATTCCTATTTATTAATAAACATTAGCTGTTTCTTAATCTGCACAGGATTAGCCTAAGAACAGCTCAGGAGTTAGTGCTGTTCTGAAATTTGTGGTGCAACTCTTGTGCTTGATTTAAAAGTTAGTGGTATTTTCTTTCTCAGTTGAAGCATTGTTTTTACATATTGCTTTCTTTTAACGCAATTTTCTCATAGAAAAAAAAAACAAAAATAATTCTAAAATTGTTCTATTGTTTTTTAGTTTGGCTGTAAAATTAAAATGCACAATGAATCTAATATATGCATATTTTTATGCTTTTGAATAGAAGTGGGGTCCTCTCTCCTGAGACATCCATCTCCTGAACTTTCTCGGTTAATCTCCGCCCACAGCTCTCTTTCCAAAGGAGAGAGAAATTTCCAGTGGCCAGTACTGGCATTTGTAATCCAGCATCATGATCTGGAAGGACTTGAAATAGCAATGAAACAAGCCTTACGGAAATCTGCTTGCCGAGTCTTTGCTATGGAGGTATTAATGTACTAATGGATCTTGTATGATTAATATAATACGTTTTTAAATTCTAAAGAATTTTTATGTAGATAAAAAAACGAAGAAGAAATTATTTTGTGATGTGCAGTAAGCCTGTTCTAAAAGTTCACTTACTTGTATTATTAACTCTAAAAGTTACAAATACAGAAGTATTGCCTGTAAACATTCTTCAGTAGTATATCTGTTGTGCAGAAAATCTCTGATAATATAACATTATTAAGGCTGTAAAAATCAATCTTACAAATACTGTTTTCTCCTCATTTGCTCAGCATCTTCTTGGTCTTACTTGTCATTCCTTTTTCAAATCTTTGACTGACTCTTCTATCTTTAGAATTGTTTTGATGCTGGTTATATATGTATCTCTCTAGATATTTCACAACTTCCCTCTGAGATGAGTGAATGCTACTCCTGTTACGTAGATAGTGAGTGAGTGACCAAAAGATCCATTAATGATCAATTGCTTCAATAAATGCTGTAAGAGGCATCCTCATTGAAGCCATTTTTTTATTTCAGCTAAGCTTTAGTGAAGTTTCTTCTGAACTTGTATGCAGCATGGGTATTTGTAATGTGTGAAAATATAGATGGATTTTCTCAGATAAAGTAAAAAACACACCTCTACTGTTAAGCACCACCCATCAAATTTCCAAACATCAATGTGCAGAAGTATTACAGCTTTTAGAAGAATGTAAGAAGGTTACATGTTTTTTGAAACTTTTTTCCCCATTATGTCGATTTTTTTTGGGAAGTGGCTGAATTGTTTCAAATAATTCGGTCAACAGCAGAGACCAAACAAGGAAACCAAATTTCAGTCTACAGAGTTCTAAAGTAAAAGGGATCTTTACATTGTTAACCAATTTGAACAGTAAGTGCTGCCAGCTCATTCTCTGAAAATACCTGAGAACATTCCTTTTTCATCCTTAAAAGCTTTTTTCAAAGAGCTTATTTTTGTGTGTATTGTTTGTGAATTACTTTGCTATGTCCCCGGTAAGATAGTTGTCATTTTAATAAACTGGTTTAGCTACAGAGCAATGTGTCTTACTTGAAGACGTCTGCATTATTATTTGCCTGTCCAAAAGCATCAATGCATCTCCTTACATAAACGGTTTAAGAACTGGTTTTGCTGCAGGCTTGCTTAACCAATTGATAACTCCTTGTATGTGTCTTATTTTAGGCTTTCAACTGGCTTCTTTGTAATGTCATTCAAACAACTTCTCTTCATGATATTTTATGGCATTTTGTGGCTTCCCTGACTCCTGCACCTGTAGAGCCTGAAGAAGAGGAGGATGAAGAAAATAAATCAAATAAGGAAAATGCAGAACAAGTAAGTGAAGTTCAGCATTCCTTTTGTAAATACAGTGTCTGTGTTGATTTTGTAGTCAATTTAGAAATATTTAAAAAAAAAAAAAACAAAACCAGAAACAACCCACCACCAAAAAAAAAACCCAAAACCCAACACCTTTAATCCTCTATCTGTGAAACAGAAACTTAATTAGAGAATGATAATTCTTAGTCTTAAATTTAGTTGAACTCTTTTGATAGTCATAAATAAATTAATTTTTCTTCTAAAATCACCAAATTTTGTGCGGCACTGATGAATTACAGTCTTTTAATGCATTATTTTTGAATATTCATGGGAAAGAAATAAAAAAAAAGGCAGAAGCACAGTTGTAATCCAGTAACAAAAAAATTTACTGTTTGCATTTTATTCTTCCTTTTCCCCAAAAAAAGAAGAGAAAAAAGAGAAAATATTTTTTCAGACATGCTTTGTTTTTTTGGTCTGCTGTGTCTTTCAGTGCTTTAAGAAAAGTTTGTAGTTAATTCTGAAAATCTATAGTTAATTTAAGTAGTTCTATATAGCTAAAAAAACAATTATGTATATAATTGTATATATACTAGACATAATTAATTTAGTGATTTAAGAAAAATCTATAATTGAAAACATTATCATGTCCACGATGAATAGCTACAGAAATCATGCTAATGCTCTTCGTAGTCAGGGTGACTTTTTTATCACTTCAAATCTAATCCAGCTTTGAAATGAGAAGTTCTGAAATGAGTCTCTTCAGCATTGCAGCCCTGGTACATTCCTACGGTTGTTTACAAAGTGACTGTTAATCTTGTCCTAAATTTTATGTGGGATATCAACTTTTCCATGTTACTGTGTCAACATGCAGATTTATAATTCTACTCATTTTCAACTGTGCTAAATTCTTATATGTATACATTAAAACTGATTTGTAGTAGCTGTGTGTATTATATTCTGAATATTGTTTCTGTGCTTGGCTCCAGCAATTTTCTGCCGTGTCATAATTTGAACTGCTAAATCAAAAGCACTGCTAGAGTGAGGGAAATGTGTTCCTGCTTGTCCTTATTCTGGTCAGCCTCCAAAATAAGAACCTTCACTATATAAACGAATAAGCAAATATTGTCTCAGCAGTAATTTCAATAATTACTGACTGGCAGAGAAAGGACATCAGAAAGAAATGTTAAATATGTCACTTCTGCTTTGGTGGGAATACTACTTCTCTTTTGATATAGTGAAGGAGGGACTTAAAAAATTCCCCTTGGTCACTTGGCTAGGATGAATAATTTTATGGCATACAAGAAATTGGCAACAGTTTTCTGCTAATTGTTAAATATCACTGAGGTGATGTATATTCAGATCACAACATCTTCCTTCAGTAGTCTGATCATGTGATAAAAATACCCATGTAAATATATGTACACAATGTAACAAATCCAAGGCAGTTTGGTGCTTTTCCACAACTGAGTTTCATTTCCTTATGTATGTGAAATACTTCTAGATATTCTTTTAATATACTAGGAGAGGGTGAGAAATGCCAGTGATGAATTCTGTAAAAATAGGGGATGGGAATCTAGAACTGTAAGTGGTTTAACATGTAAGATGTAGGTTCTAAAGCACTGTCGTTGCTAAAGCAAAATGAAATGCAAGAATTACTAAGCTGCAGAGGAGACGAGGGGGAGCAGAATGCTGTCTGTGTAGAAAAGATCCTTGGGGGGAAGAGGAATACCTAGGTGTCCTGGTTTCATCTGGGAAGAGTTAGCTCTTCTTTTCAGCAGCCAGAAGAGCTCCGTGTTTTGGTTTTAGCCTGAGACTTGCTCCGAGAAGAACGCTGACAGCGCGCTGATGTTTGTAGTTGGCACCAAGGTCTCAAGGACTTTCCAGCCGCCGTGTTCTTGCCAGTGTGCAGGAGCACAACAGGATAGGGGGGAGCATGGCCGAGACGGGGGGGGGGTCTACGACTCTCCTTTTGATTTGTACTTAGGCTTAGGATTGAGGGCCAAACTGGCCAGTGGAGTGTTCCATGTCATGCAGCGTCATGCCCAGCATAAAAATGAGGGTCAGCTGGAAAGAAGAGCCTTTGCTCATCCAGAGCTCTCACTCTCGGACTCTGAGTGCTCTCTCCGTCTCACTCTCTTTTCGGGCCTCTCGCTCATCTGGGATTGCAGTCTCGAGACGTATATGTTTTGGGATTGTTAGTCCGGAGCAGGATGAGCCTTGGTCACCGAGTGGTGAGCAATTGTACTGTGCATCATTTGTTTGTATATTGTTATCGTTATACATATGTATATAATTCATATATTAGTAGTAGTAGTATTAAATTGTTCTTATCTCAACCCATGGGTCTCTTTCCATTTTCTCCTTTAATTCTCTTCCCCATCCCCTGGGGGTGGAGGAGGGTTAGCAAGCAGCTGCATGGCGTTTAGTTGCCGGCCAGCTTAAACCATGACACTAGGCTTTGAACTTTTTCTGAATAATTGATTATATTTAGTGTAGAGTTCAATCTCATGCTTCCTACTTCATACACTGAGTGCACTTTACCACATTATGCCCTGCAAGAAAATACAGAGAAATGTCTGGTTTGATGATTCTTGTCTAGGTAAGCATGTGCCTAAAACTCATTTCAAATAATATTATAGCATTTCTGGGCATTCAAGCACTCGAGATCCATGGGAAATCTACTCGCAAGAATATACATAGACAATTTAACAGCCTTAAGAGAGTAAGTTTGCATCTGGCTTTGGGTGTCAGTATCTTGGGGGCAAGCAGCTGGTTTTCATGATTCAAGCAGGATCAGATTTTCTTTCAAAAAAGCAGTAGAAGAAACAGTTTGTATCCTTCACAGACAAGTCTGTCTCTGCCTTCTGAAATAGGATATCATGATCCGAAGCTCATTCTTTCTCTGCTACTCTTCTCTGTAACATACCTTGCTGGCTCTCACCCTCTTTGGTCCTCTCCCACTGCCTTCATACCCACTGCCCTGTGGAACTTGGCTCCCAGTGCACAGCCGTTCTGATACGAACACATCTTAACTAAGAATCATTATTTTCACAGCTCTAATGAAATAAAGCAGCTGATAACCTTAGCTCAATTAGCAAGTTTGTTGTGGTTGATTTTTGCTGCTCAAAAAAGTTATTAACAGCTGGAATATGTTATTTTTTGCAGTTTGTTTTGTTTGTTTTCAAATTATTGCAATGTAATGTTTCACATTTTTGAATCATGAGAAATATGTGGTAGCATACAGTGTACTTCCCGAATTCCTTGTGTGGTGTTCACGTATAACTTGGTATTTTAAAAATTCCCTGACAGGAACTACTTTGAAGTTCACGTTCATTATAGGATTGTTTCAGTTATTATTAAACCAAATATGATAAATGTTTCTATTTCTATTTATTTAACCGTTTTCCTCTGAAAGTCTGTTAACAACATACAAATTGCTTTGCGTCTTAGGAAAAAGACACAAGAGTATGTGAGCATCCTCTGTCAGATATAGTGATTGCTGGCGAAGCAGCTCACCCGTTACCGCACACTTTTCATCGCCTTCTCCAGACAATCTCTGATCTTATGATGTCGCTTCCCAGTGGTAGTGCATTACAGCAAATGGCCTTAAGGTAAGCACAAATTAAGAAAATTCTTAAAAGGCTGGAAACATTATAACATTATAGATGAAAAGATTTTGCAATGTTGATGGGAAGCGTCAATCAACTTTCTGTGTCTGTGTGAAAAGGAGCATGTCTGTCCTTATGCATGGGAAAGATATACGTAAAAGATGTATGTATGTGTTTGCTCTTAAATTCTGTACTGTATCCGCTCTGAAAAAAAAAAATATTATCTGTGAATATGTGCGTGGCAGCATAATACCTTTTGCTCAGAAATCTGTCATCTGAATGGTATCCTTAAATTGTTTGAAAATTTTCCTGTGTATCTGTCTCAAGGATACAAATTGAATAATAATGATTCTATTCACTGTTAAAATTCGAAGGAAAGTTTACTCTTGCCTTCCTCGAAATGATGCAAAGAAATACTCGAGATCCTGAAAAAAATTGAAGTTAAAGGTTCATAGAAAATATTTTGAGAAGCAAAAATATAATTATTAGTTTCACTAGTAAGTTATGTCTTTTAAACAATATTCACAATTTCAAAGTCCACTAAATGTATTTCAGGTGCTGGAGTCTCAAATTCAAACAATCTGATCACCAGTTCCTGCACCAGAGCAATGTTTTTCACCATATCAACAATATTTTGTCTAAATCTGATGACGGAGATAGTGAAGAGAGTTTTAGTATCAGCATTCAGTCTGGTTTTGAAGTCATGAATCAGGCAAGTATTACACCTCTCTCTCAGAAGCAGAGATCAATTGTGGACAGCATGTGCTTCCTATGATCCTTCTATTTGAATTAAAACATTTTTTATTGCAGTTAATTCCTTTGATTCATTGAGTTAGTTAATTTCTTTAATGCTGTGTACTTCCAGTTCTTACTTGCTAACATCGTCTTTTTCTTCTGTTATTCTGAGGAGCACAAATTAATACTCCTGATGAATGTCTTTGAAGTGTTTTCTTCCATTTATTAATACATTTAGACATTTACTAACATATTCAGCTGTTAACGATTAATATTTGCTTTGGTTTAAAGGGCTGAATAATTTGAACCAGTAAATGACAAATTTCTTCTTTAATTCACAGAACATATTCCTCAGAACAGAAATGTCTGTATGATTTTAAAAATTGTCAATAATGCCTGTATTTGGGCTTACTTTCAGATATTTTGAATATTTTCATTTGTTTTCACAGGAACTGTGTATAGTGGTTTGTCTAAAAGACCTAACCAGCATTGTTGACATTAAAACATCAAGCCGGCCTGCCATGATCGGTAGTTTAACAGATGGGTCTACAGAAACGTTCTGGGAGTCAGGAGACGAAGATAAGAACAAAACTAAAAACATCACAATTAACTGTGTAAAAGGAATCAATGCACGTTATGTGTGTGTTCATGTAGACAATTCCAGAGATCTTGGGGTAAGAGGAAAATGATTAAATGTCTCTCATTGAAGGTGCATAGTCAAAGTTGTATATATTTATCAATCAAGGACCACTGTTTTTTTTATCCAGTTCAGTTTGTAATTCTAATTCAGAAGCTCACATTTCAAAGTGTAGTTTCTAATTACTGTGGTTTCGAAAGCAGTACCTGATATGATCAGACCAATCCAACTAAATTTCCAGTTTGCATGAACCTAAGGCTGGGAAACTTAATTCTCATAGATTTCATTTCATAGATTTCTAGGTT